GTTCTTGTGCGTTCTGATTGTTGTTGCTGTTGCTTGGCACTTAATGGAATTTGCCGCTTATGCGTTACGCATGCCGGGCATTATCCTTCCTTCGCCTGCCTTCCGTTTCCTGCGAAAGAAGAGACGCGTCTTTTGCCTGCATTCACGTCTGCTTCTGGCTTTCTCCTAGCACATATTTTTCTTAAAAGTTAGCTTGCCGCCATTCTTGACGAAAAGTTTGCCTTTCGTTTTCCGACTTGCGTTTGTCTCGGTTTTTTCGTGTGGGTCCTGTTCTTCCAGCTTTGACTTTGATTGCTAACAAGATTTTATTGGCCAACTGTTCGGTTGCTCTCACAGCCTAATTTACTTACACATATGTGTGCATATGTGTACATATGTCTAGAAGTATTGAACTAGTTTAGCTGCAGGCTGCTCAACATTTTTCTGCACTCAAATCGACTGAGCTCTAAGCCGCTTACAAAATGTTTAATATGACTCACACATACAAACACACACACACACTCACACACACACACACACACATACATATGTGTGTATGTATATGATAATTTATGCTGTTGACAACATATATTTTTCTCCTTCGATTGCGCATATCAATTTCCAGCTGCCCCTAAAGGTATGCAACGTGAAACTTGAAGCAATTGAGCAGCAGCAGATCCCACATAGGTTTCAGCTATTGCCCTGCCTTCGCCCTCCTTGCCCTTAGCTTGTTTTTATATTCTTGGAAATTTATCGGCTGTCTACATCGGCAGGGTATTTTTCTGTTGTCTTCATTGTTGCTCTCTGTTGGTGTAATGCTATACTCTAACAAAGTGTTTTTTCTTGTGCTCGCTTGGGGTATAAGGAATCGGGATAGCAATAATATAATAGCTACGTTTGCTGCAGACATCTAACAAAGCCCTAATATACCCTGTAGTGGGAAGACTGGCTCAGTTTGTACAACGAGAAAAGTTAAGTAACTATAAATTTGCACTTCGGAATTTAAAAGATTTTATTCTCTAAAGTATAATATATTGACTCATTGGGCATATATACCCTGTGGTAAATATAAATGTTAAGCGTTCCGCAGTCTAGCATACTCCTCTCATATCATTTTTTTCTTCTGCGTGTTGCTTTTGCTGTTCCTGGTGTCTGAATACCTTTTATTGTTGTTTTGATCAAAGAATTTATCGTGGCTTTGGCCTTTGCTAGACCCTGAACTGCCTGCCGGCACTTGACTGTTGACTCAGTTTACAGGATGGCTGCTGCTGCTGCCCCCCCCCCCCTCCCACCCTCCCCTTACTCATCCACCTCATCCTGTACCACCATTTGCAGTCATATCTATTGTTGCATTGTTTACATTGTGCTCATTTTGCCTTCGACCGACTTGACTTGACTTGCATCTGCCAATTGCAGTTGCAATTGCTGACTTCTGCATTTTAGCAGAGCCCTTAAAAAGCTTAAGCACATACAATTGTTGATGAACAAATCATACTTTAAAAACATCCTTTAAACAATATATGTACATTTTAATTCAATTGAAATATGCACAGGACTATAAAACTGAAAAGATAAACTATTTAATTATATTAAACTATAAAATGGCCAAAAAGTATGCATATAAAAGGTGTATAAAAACGTTTATAAGTAAACATTCTATCATATGAAGTTCCATAAACAAATACAACGAAATCATGTTGAATATATTGTTAAATGTGCAACAAAGCGCAAAATGACTGAATCAGCATACAGTTTCGGATATAATATTAATTCTGACAGCTTGTTGACGCTGAAGCTAGATCCCAAATATGGTATAAGCGATTTATATACAACTTAACTTCACTTGAAGCCTTGGGGTCAGCAGATTAGCAGAAGCCCCGAATATGTAATTTACAAATAGGGAGCCCTTTGGGCCATGGCCAAAACTCCAGTGACTTGGGATGTCGCTTGTACAAGTCAAATGTTTAAATTTCTGGTTGTCCTGCAGGGACAGGATACAACCAACAAAGCGCCAACCAAATAGCCTCTGGCAGCCGCTTCGTGGTCAGTGGCCGCAGTAACAGTTGTTGGCAGAATCAGTTACACAAAGATAATTCTGGATTCCATTACAGGACAGTTTACTTTTTGGCCACTGACATGTTTTGTTGTAGTAACATTTCAACTGTTTTAGTTGTTGTAGTTGTTCTGGCTCTAACGGTTTTCTGGTTACCAACAACGTCACATAATGAAATAATTTATTTGCGGAAAACGTTTGACCATAGCTCGGGCTAGTTATCTATGTGCATCTGAATTTCTCTATGACGTTATAAATTGGGAGTGTGAATTGTATGAAAACATAAGTAAAACCAATTAATTTCAAGTTTTCTGATCACATAGAATTAAGCTTCAAGATCAAGTATATTCATAATTAATAAAAACGAAATAAAGCTAATTAGGAGAATGAACTAAATATAATAATTAGATCTCAGCCTCAAACTGCTTAAATTTTTAAAAATGTTGCAAATTTTGCAAATGGGTACACTAAAATACGAAAGGCTTCGTTATTGATCATCAGTTTAATTAAATTAATATATTTCTTGACTGTATAACTCCAAATCAATTAATGTGGCGATCACAGTCGAGCAGAATGGTCAGACCTCTCACGAAACCCGGCTGCAAAGATATCAAAATCTTACCCTCCAGCATTAGGGAAGTCCAGGTCATCCCTTACACATATTATTTCAACTTTTTCCTTTTGCGTGGCCTCTATATATCTTATGTTATAGCCAAAATTACTAATCGACTAATAGCCCAGTAAACAAGAATGCATGGGTATTATGCCAAAACGTTTAGATAAGCCATTGCCCATACGTCATGTTGGCCACACATTACTGGCCGATTCTTGGCAATAGAATACAATTGTATGAAAGATGAAAAATGTTTCCCCTGCAAGTAGTATGTCAGTTGTGCTGTATAACATATGCAAAACTGTTATATAGCTTCTCCAGCGCACGCTAACAAGTGTTTGTTCCATTCATAAATTGCCTTCTTGCCGAGTAACCCAGTGCCCCGAATTCGACAGCAACAAAGTGTTTAAACTGTGCTACATGTACTAAGTTTTTAGCACACATCCCCAACGAAAGCAGCTCGTACAGCGACGAAACACCGAAGAACCGAGTCCTCCGTTCGGGCGTCCGTTCAGCCTGGCGGCAGTGAAGCATCGTTTGCGTCCTTCAGTTGCACGCCGGCCATACAACCATGCAGACGCACCTGCGGCAGCCAAGAAACAGTTATCACTTATCGCTTTGAAGTGAACGTTTGAAAAGTGTAACGTTTAACGGTTTATGTGAGTCTCAAGAAAATCGAAAGTGTATCAAATACTCGAAAATAAAAATATTTAAAAACAATCTAATTTTTATTTTGCGAGAAATAATAATAAGTTAACAAAAACAAGAAAAAAACGTATTGTTATTTAAAGTGTGTTTTAGTGAGTTAAGAAAAGAACGAGAAATAAAAAAAGGGAAATCCCGACTTTTATGCCCATATTTAAATTTGAGCGCGTTGCAAAACTTAATTTAATATTTTTTTAATTGCCTAAATATCAAAAAACTTGTCGTTAAAAAAACTCATATTTCAAAATTAAAAAAAAGCATAATATTTAAATTGAAAAAAAAGTCGGTTCTGGCTTGTCAAAAGGCAATGAAAATATAATTGTATATACGATATAAAAAACAACAGAAAATAAATTGTCATTTGGGGACCCTTACTTTCTTCAAGGCCTTAATTTTCAGCTTCTTTGAAGCCACAAAACATAAATATATACATAAAATCCTAAGTCGCATCTATTGCGAAACTAATTGAATTATTCTAATACCTAAATAACTTCGAGGGCTCGTTGTATTTTTAATTCCGGCTTGCAGAAGCCAGCTAGAGTACGTCTCGGCTGCTGTTCTGTCTGAGGGGCCGTTGTCACTTCAAAAGGGACCAAACAAATATTAATTAATATAAATCTAAATGAAATTCTGTGCGCTTCGGCTGGCAAACTCCAGCAACGAAAAAAATTGTTTAAAATGAGCGAAGCAAAAGTCGAACAAAGTTTGCATTTTGCTTTATGTTCTACCTTTAATTATAAGTTGTTTTTTAATTCATTTCCATTTGCTGCTTTGACGGGGGCCGGTGAATAGACACTTTTTGTTGTTTTGAAATTGAAAATAGGAAAAGTTCATTGGCTGAGTTTGAGGCGTTGAAGTATTTTAATTAAAGTGCTGGCAGGACAAGAGGCAATCTGATTCATCGTCGTGCTGGCAACCAGCAGCTAGCACTCATTGCAAAGTGCCTCTTAAATCTGATGCTACGTTCTTAAGAATATTATTTTGTTGTTTGTTTAGTTTTTCTCATGCCAAACAAGTTTTCAAGTCTTGTCAAAACGCTGTAACAATTCCAGAAAATACAATATTCCCCAATTTTCACACACATTAAATAAAATATGTATGCGCCCTAATAGCCCTGTCAAAAGTTGATGCATAGGAAATAGGCCGAAATGTTTAGGCATTATGCAAAGCCGTTACTCATACGTCACGTAGGCCACAGGTGTGTTCCAGCCATCCTCTGATAAAATTCTAGACAAGCCGAAGCTAATGAACGAAAGTCGGCCGTCCCTCAGGCAATTAAAGCCATTTATAACTAATTAGAAAATTATGCAAAATTTTCTAAATTTCCCTCCTGCATGTGTGGTAAATTTGTATCAAAAATCACAGGCCATGCAGAGCCCAGATAAAAGCAGAGTCGAGTCAAGTGAACCCAGGGCCTATAAAAATTAAATTACAATTGCGCAATGTGTGTGTGTTAGTTGGTGTGTGTGTGTGTTGAGTGCCAAAATCTACTCCACCATGCCCAGCAGCACCAACAGGATATTTAATTTCCTTGCCAGGGCAACAAACGCCTGTCTTTTGCAAATTTTATTTCCAGTTTAAGCGCATTAGCAACAGCAACTCGTAACGAACTGAAAGGCGAGCGCATGGCAGGATATAGGTTGGGCTTACCTCTGTTTAATAATTACAAGAGCTCCGGTCTTTATACAAATCTCCAGCTTAGTTTTCATTGTAATGTGTGCAGATGTTTCAGATAGTTGAGTCTATTTTTTGTGTGCTGTGATAAATTCGCCCCACAGCCCCGGAGGTCCAGTCGTTGACACATTGTCGTATGAGCCCGAGCTGGCCTTTGCTTAATTACAATAGGGACCCTATTAATGAAGTCGGTCAACTCGTCCATACCATGTGTTATATCAGCTGTCTCTCCCTTTTTGGTAATTAAATCCTTTGTTGCCTGCTTTTGGGAAATGTTACAATTGCCAGCTGAAGATTTCTACACAGAAACTTCCACTGATGGCGGATACTTTTTTAAATACTTTCTCGCATTTTTAAGCGAAAGTTTTATCGAATTACAAATTGTGTTAACACGTTGCAAGTTTCTATCAGCAGAGTTAAGTATTAAAATGCGCTTTCGTATGCATGGCAAGCAATATATTTTAGAGAGTTTGCAGAAGCAGCAACTGAACGCAGACTTCAAATGATAAATGGCTCGGACAATAAATGAATTCCCCCCAGTTATAAATTCGCTTTGAATTTGCCATTGTCGTTGCCATTGCCATAAGCCAAAATGGCAACTGCGGGCAATAAAGTAGGGGAGCAAATATAGTATATGCCAGTTAACAATATGATTTATTTCATATTATTTTTACTCGAATCTATTGAATATTCCACTCCAAAATTCATTTGCCCTCATTTTACTTTATACAACTATTTATATGGTTTTATTTTAAAGTGGAATTATTGCACTAGCTCATTCTATTATTTTATATACTAAAACGTTTTGTTACATTTGCCAGCGTAAGTAAGCCCTACAATGTATGTCTGTGTTCGTTTGGCAATTGTATTTTAATGCACTGTAATTAATTACGCTGGAGCCAAGAACTGTTCCTCGTCTGCTGTCGTATACTTTAAACTGCAAACTGCAAATGCGCAAACATTTTCGCATTATTTACAGCGTAAAACTTGATTTAAATTAATGAGCAGTTTTTGGAAATTTAATGCTAATTGCCAATAAATGTTCAAGCAGCTGTCAGCCACACAGACTCCGCAGAGCCCGAACGTTTCGCAAGTCTGAACTTCTAATTTGGGAAAAATGTTCGCTCTGGCGAGAATTGACTCCGTGTATATGAATATGCCAGCGCATCGCATGGTTATCAAGCTGCTCGTAAAACTTAAGCAACGTGTGCAGAGCTGAGGAAAACGAATTAATTATGCCACATGCAACTTGGGGCGATAGGTAAAATAAATAAATGTATCTTATGCTCATTAGCCAGCGATCCAGTGATCCACCCACACACATGCGCAACGAAAAACGTTAATTTATTTATGGCCCAAAGGAAGCTCTTAAACCGCGTTTACAATGTGTATTTGGCATTAACTGTTGGCCAGACACGCCATAAATTCTCATGAGTAAAATAATTAGAAAATCAAATAGTTGCCCAGGCAAGCAAATAAGCGTCACCAACGGGCGGCACTCAAGAGCAGACGGCAAGGGGGTGTCAAAATGACGCACAGCAGGAAACGGAAATGGCGCAACTGAGTTAAACTTTAACTGGAGCGTGAAGTGAGAGGTTAGGTGCTTAAAAAGTTGTACTGTCGCCAGACACAACAGGCCAATGAGGCTGTTCCAGCATCACAAATCACCGAGGTTGATTTTGGTCACTGAAAATTAAACAATAAGCGAAAGCTCTAACCGATTGTTCCTATATGAGGTATATGATTTAGTAATCCTTTACACCATATAACTATAAAACTAAGTGACTAGTTTGTAGAGAAACAGACAGACAGACTGATAATAATTTAGAACATATATACGATAAGGCCTCGGGTATGCCTGCCTATATTCATTGAACATTTCATCAAATAATTAGAATAGTACGCTTTAGAGAGGCATGCAAAACTATATCAGTTAGCGCCTTGATATATATTCAAGAAACTGAAATTTGGAATGCGCCCAGTAAAATATGCATAAATAAGAGAGCGCCAGTTATGCTCAGGTAGCTCTGCGGTTACTGAATGTTGCCAAAAAACTTGACAAGCATGCGCTAGATTTTCGCTCTTCCGCCTGCGCTTATATATAAGTATTTGTCGGAGTATTTCATGAACACATAAATGAATGTGTTGGCAGGTCTACGCAAAAGTTTGGCGGCAGAAACTTTTCCGATTAAGTCAATTTGATGTGGCAGCCAAAAGGTGGCTGTCACAAACGTTCGCAGCCAGCAACTGACAGCTAATATGCCCGACTTGTGCCTTACCAATTTGTCAAAATGCATGCGCATATAAATTTGTTTAAATTGGGAGACTGGGAGACAAACACTTCCTGACAGCCAGATAAGCGCCACTAATTATGCAATTAATTTCTGCAGTTGCTTGTTTTTTTCAACCGCCAGTATTACGATTCTTTTATGGACTCTGCTGACGCTGGGATGTTTTTTATGGCGGCGACCAGCGCTTTAATTTAAATTGTTTTTAGATAAGGTTTAATTGAGTTGGCGGTGCGCAAGCGAAGGCAAAAGTTAGTTAAATAGGCTTTGGAGAGTGCGGCAGAGAAATTTATATGGAAAAGTTGGTATGTTATTTTCAAATTTATGCTTTGCACTTGCTAATTGCTAGTTTCCAATTTATATCATTTTATTAGCAATTTATTATGATGCCTGCCCAAAACTTTCTGAGAGTTTGCCGTCTGTAACTTTTTGAGGGTCCACACTCGAGTATCTCATTTCACAAGCCCACAAATACAACTTGACGTATGAAAAGCTTGAGTATGGTGGACAGCAAATCAAATTGAATGCGTGACGCATAATGTCATAAAACATGATGAAAACAAATGCCGCACAAGAGGCCCAAATCACGGGCCGACACAAAAACTGTGCGCCATTCAAATTAAAGCACACTTCAGGGCGCAGAATTAAATACGAGTACACATACATCTGAATTTACATGCCTATATGCCAAATATGTTTTTCTTTTGTTATGCCTGCGGCCAGAGCAGTAAACATGCCTGACTGCCATTTATTAGTGAGGAAAAGAAAAAAATATATATAAAATATATAAAGCTATAAAATATTTAGTACTTAGTTTTGTGCAGCACAGCTTAGGGGCATGTGCAGCGGCAAATAAAAGCCCGACGGAATGCTAAGCATTCTTGAAAATGCCAGACAATAGACACTGTGGTAATGATCTTTTTGTTGCTCATATCCTGGCACAAATGCCGGAGTTGGCAACCCGAAAAACACACAACGTAAAACAAGAACAAACAAACAAAAGCCCCCCCCCCCCCCACACACACACACACACACACACACATCCGCCCATACACACACTCTTAACCTTGCCCACTTACCCGCTTGCCATTTTATTTTGTTGTATTTGTCATGACTTTGCGCTTTCGGGTAGCACAGCAAAAAAAAAGGGGGATAAATATACAAAAAAAAAAATCACATTTTTTTTTTTTTTAATTTTGTCGCTTTTTAAGGCACACATTTTGTGGGCCGCAGAGGTTCCTAAACCAACAATTCAGCGGAACAAATCTCAACCAATCTGTTAATTCAAATTCGTATAGTTCTTGCTGTCCAAGTGCTGACACATGCAGAGCATTTAAATCAGTTTAATGCTAAGCAACTTTATGCTCATTTTACTGCGGCCACCTTCATGACTTTTTCATGCTGCAAAATGTGAGCTGAGTTAGCAAAATGACAAAAATGTTGCGCTTGCATTAATGCTTGCTCAGATTTTAGCAGAGGAATGTTCAATTACCAGAAATTAAATATTCGTTTATAAATATTTATTAGAATATTCTTTATGGGTGCAATAGAGACGGGCGTGTGACAAGAATTTAATAAAAATATAAAAAGTTTTACAGGGCTTGCTCCAATTATAAAAATTCGGATTAATTTCTTATATATATCTGGGATATACTGATATTTTGCTGTATAGACACATTGTCTTTTGTAGTTGTGTTGTGTAAACCAGTTAAAAATTTGCCCTTAGCACCAATTTGTTGTGCAATAGTTAGAGCGGCCAGCTGATTAGAATCAAGATTCGGCTTTGAATTCAAATAAATATGAATTGCGGGTTAAAGTAAGACATAAAAATAAAATAATTTAATTTAATTCTTAACTAATCTTTAACTTGTTGATCGTTGTAATTTCCGCTGAGACACAAGACAAGATCCAATTAACTAGCTCTAGCAAATAATGCTCGTGTCACGAAGAAAAGACGACAAGCGGCCATTACTAGGCGACAAGGCCGCAAGGACATTACAAATGGCCGCCGCCCGTAAGTAGGCAATGTATTTGTTGCTGCTTTCAATTTCCGTTACTTAACACTTGTTGTGCAAGTCACGTGCCAAAATAAAGCAGCTCGCACATACATTTTCTAAGCCAGGGCTAACCAATATGTCATGCCACATGTAACGACACCGGGGAACGGGATGGGGACGGGGCCAGCAGGGCGGAGTGGGTAAGGTGAAAAATGCAGTTGCCAGCAATGGCAGTGACACGAGGGGCGCCACTTATGCGTATGTTGCCATGTTGGCCGTGTGATTTATACGACATTCACTCACACACACACACATACACACAGACGCACACTCACACACATATTTGCCTGCCATTAACATTTTGCTTTGTTTCTCCGCCCCGCCCAGCCACAGCTGACTTGTGGCTAATGTTGTTGCCATTGTTGTTGTTCCAGTGGCTATTTGCTGCCATTTGACTATTTGCTTATTTGTCTTGTCAGCAACCTCGCATCTGCCGGAAAACGTGAGTTCCTTTTCATATCACAATCTGCGGCTACTTATTTATTGTTGGCCAGAGAGCTGCTGGCTGATTAAAACAGATTACATGCAAAAAGAGGAAAAAGGCTTTTACTTTATTTGATTTCGTCAATTGTTCCCTTATTCGATGTCAACTTGAGTACTTTTGCGCAAACAGTGACTGCCATTAGTATATGCACAGCAAGCAAATATTAATTTAGTAGGAGGAAAATATGTACATATAAATGCCCTTGCTGATCTTCCATGCATTTAAGATTCAAAAGGCAGTCACATATGTTTAGCTTACGTCAATTTGTTATAGCTCTCTATAGGGTATTATAACGCATTAAACAATGTATCTCCATCGTATATATAGTAAACTCTCTTTTAGCATCAACTGTAGAGTGGTTGTTATGTTATGTTCAGTTTAAACTAGCGACAGTTAGTTATTGTAAAAAATTATTATTGTTTCCCTGGTTATTTTTAAAAATGTATTTAACTTCAGAGCACTCGATGGTAAATATAGAGTGAATTTTATCTTCGTTGTGCCGTACTTTCCTTGTTTTTATATGATTTCATTCATCGAAATTAAAAAATTTGTTTTATATCTTTTTTCAATGTAAAAAAGATTACATTTGAATATTTAAGTTCTTAATTTAAGGCTTTACTATTTAATTTTTGATATTTCTAGAAGACATATACAATTTTTTCTAATTCTGTATTCTTCTGTAGACAGCAATTAAAATTAATTGTGTTGTTTTTGTTATATTTATTAACTTTGTTTACTCAGAAATTATTTTGGAGATTTTCATGCTGGTTATGCGTTTGGAATAAGGTTTGCACGGATTTTTACGCAAAATCAGCTGCAGTTAGCAAACTTCAACTTTTCAAAGTTGGGATAATTAAAGATTTTTTTAACAGCAGCAGTGCTTATAATGCAGTCATAAATTATTGCAATTCAGCAGGCAGTTGCTTAAGCTATTAAAAAAAAAGAAAGGAAAACATGCTGCCATCCTTGGCCAATGAAATAATAATTAAAAAGTTTCCAGCCAGCTGACGAGAGGGAATTGCTTAATCTGTGTGGTATTTTGCCTGCGCCGAGTTCTGTCTGGCTGCCTGCTCGCTTTATTTAAAGAGTAGTTTAAGCAGACA